TAATTTGGGAATATATGTATTTAGATAAAATAACAATACGATAATTTGGAATGACTTTTTCACTGCATGGAGCTAGTTGATTATTATTATATTCGCAATGAGATTCTATATTAGTCTACATATTTTTTAATTCGTCCAATCATGCTTTCCTTTCTACACTAAACTATGTTAATAATATTGACTTTAAATACAAAATGTTCTAATTCCTAATATGTTAATTATTATGTTATATTAATCAAGAATGAAAAAACTCGGACTTTTTTGTTTCCTCTCAATTATGGATGATATAATATATAAGAATAAACTAGCATCTGTACCAGAAAAATTTCATGTCACTCAATATGAACTAATAATATCAACTAATTTTACAACTTATCTTGGGTCAAAAATATTCACGAACATTGTGTTAGAAATATAACTCAGATAAATGAAAATTAATATTCCTGTAAGAAATAAATTAATGTACAAGCATAATAAATACTATTGTATACATTTTTTATCTAAATAGCACTCACATATTAAATACTAGAATTTTACACAAAAAAATTAAGAAAAAATAAATAGAACATAAAATGAAAAGTATGCAACACATAAAAATTTTAAAAAGTATTATAATCATGATTATTATATGTATTTTTACTATTTCGATTATTTAATATTTTTTTTTTAATTTACTGGAATATATTATTTGTTAATTGGGCATGAAATAGTTAAATTAAAATTGATAATTTTATGGAACTCTCTTTAATTCTCCTTAGGAGAAATTGTCTTTAATCAATAATAATTATATATATATATATATATATATATATATATATATATATATATAATATTTCTATGATTTCTATGAATGAATTTAATTTAATAATATAATATTTAATATGATATAATATATAGTTATTACATGTATCATAATGAAAAATTAATTAATGATGATTTTTTCAATGTTTGATTTTTTTAAAAGAAATTTAATTTTAATATAAAAGTTATGATACAGAGATATATCATAATTAGCCAGAATCAATTTGACTCTTGAAAATATGTTTTTAAAAAAGAATCTTTCTAATAGCGAATTCAACTCACTGCATTCATTCTTCACTAATACATACTAAAGATATCTAAAAGTAGTGTGTCGTGTCAAGAAAAACACTTAAAATTCTGAAAAATTATAATCCCGAAAGGGATTATAATTTTTCAGAATTTGAGACATGATACATCATCCTAAAAGAGTTCAAAATTATTAATCTAATTTAATAATGCAGGAAGTTTGTTTAGAAAATAGTATGGATATTTTTCTCCTCGAATATATAGCATTTCTTGATGTGAAATATCAAAAATAATGTGATATGATTACTTCAACTATCCAGAAATGTTATCCAGAAGAAAAATGTAGTTTTACTTTTTTCACATATACACATAAACAAACTTCCTGAAATATTTAAATTAGCTTAATAATTTTAAACTTTGAATATGTTTATTAAAATAATAATGATTTTAAACTGCATTTTTGCTTGTGGCAAAATTTATTATATATAATTTATTTATATTTAATATTTTATTTAATTATTTATTTTATTATATAAATAAGTATTATATTTATTATATTTATAAAACTTAAAAAGCATATATATTTACAAAAAAAAATATTATTTCTCTTAAATTTAAAAAAAAATTAAAAAAATGAAGTTAAATCTGTGTACTATCTGAAAACCGTTATAAAAACTGTTATGTTAAAGTGTTTTTTAATATATTTTAGCCCTCGAAAAATAGTCATGCAAAAATAATGTTTCAATGTATACATTAAAATTCAATTTTTTTAAATATCATATTATGAATCCCTTGTTTTATGATATCGAGTGAAGCTCGTAATACAGATTATAGGTCAGACATGATAAACACGCCAAATTCGTGATATATATTACGGGCCAAACGTGATAGACACGAATCAGACTCGTGATACATATTACAAGTCAAATATGGAAGATATTTTATCAAACTATTTTATTTAAGATATATATGTAAAAGATATTTTATACAATTCAGAATAATTAATTTTTTTTAGCAATAAATTTTTTTTCTATTACTCAACCATTTAAATAATCTTTGCATAAAATTAAATAAAAATTTTTTTAATATTAATATTTTATTTAATTTTTAAGATACAAATTATTCTAGTTCAGACAAACCAAACGAACGTTAATAAAATTATAAATACAAGCTCTTAAAAGTTCTTCATTTTTATATTATATTGTTTTTTTGTTTTATTGTAAAAAAGTATGTAAAAATATATATTCATAAAAAAATTATATTACATATTATATATTATACTGCATATTTTATGTTTTATAAAAGAATAATTAATTGATGATTAATTTGATAAATTAAGTTGATACATTTTTGTTTATTTCGACATGTAAACAATCTTCTTCTTAACTGTGGTATATGCGGTTAGAAATTAAATCGTAAGACAAGGGATTCAAGTTATCTATATATTTAATAACACAATACAATTATTCTACTAAGCATCTATATATGCATATATATATATATATATATATATATATATATATATTAATATGCTTGTATGTATACAACTTATATAAACATATAACTACAAAAAATATTTTTAAATAAAGAACTTTTAGAAGCATATGCATCAATACAGATAAGACAATTAAAGTAATTAAAGAAACAGAATCTAATATCACAAAGTTTAGCGCTGATATATATATATATATATATATATATATATATATATATATATATATGTATAAATAAAATGTAATATTCACTCATTCATTCAGATATTGTATTAAATAATTATAATAAATAAAGCACCTTTATGCAACTTTTTTTAAAGGGATATAAAATTTAAAGAAATATTTTTTTATATAACAGTTTTCTAGACAGACAATGGACTCGAGTCCTTTATTTTTTAAATTATTTTTTAAATTATTACAATTATTACTTTTACTTTTAAAATAATTTTTTAAACATATATTAATTACTTAAATATAAAAAGATAACATAAACATTTTAAAGAATTAAAACCTAATAATCATAATATATTGTTGTTATATTTAATAAAATGTACATTAATTTTTTGTTATCATCAAGTGTTTATGTATTAGAGAGAGAGAGAGAGAGAGAGAGAGAGATTTAGCAATCTTTAGTATCCATTAATGAAATATAATACAGGTAACCAAATTTGTTAAACAAATAATATTTTTACGTGTGCTTATTTTGAAATTGAAGAGATGAAGCAACCTTTTGAAAGTAACGCTTATACTTGACTCTAAGCAATCTATGAAATCTATAAAAAAATATTTTAGACAAAATTTACGATTATTTTGTATGTACTTTATAATGTGTGTTTGGATTTTTCTCTTTTTTTAAATATTTACAATATTTTTATAAAATATTCCCATCTTTTTTTGTAAAATTTAAAGTTTTGTCACATATGCATAAATTAATGACATAAGATTTCTTTCAATTTTTATTCTTAGAATTTTAAATTTTGTGAAAATAATAAAGAAGATAAAGATATTTTTAAAAATATTAGATTTTTTTGGAAAAAACAATTATGCAGAATGTTCGATAAAAATTGGATCAACTTTTTGAGTTGATAAAGCGCAGTAAACTGAACAGAAAAATCCTTTATCATTTTGTAATTTTTGCAATTATTGAAATATTAATTAAAAAGGATCGATAAATAAGCACAGTAGTTTCAGTATGCTCTTACGAGCACTGGTCTTTATCAAATACCCTCTGTATATAAAGTACATAAAAGAATCATAAATTTTATCTAAAACATTTTTTTATAAAGTTCACTGTTTTGATTGCTAATTATACATTTTGCCGTTTACATATTTTTATTATATAGGGTGTCTCGTTTTAAAGGCTACTAATAATAAATAATTAGTAAATGGCCACTCAAATATCTCAGAAACACTGCGTTAAATCGAAAAATGTTTCAAACAAAAGTTATGTGATTTCAAGGGGGCCATAAGATGGTGGCAAAAATTTGATCTTGGATAGGTCACATAAAGGTCACCTTCAATTTTTTAAATGGAATCTACTATTTTTCATTGCATATTCTTATAGCTTATCACGAGAGCTTTCCAAAATACTATAATAAAATATTTTTTCATCAAGTACTTTTCGAGTTACGAGGCTTGAAATCATTTCTTAATTTTACATAAACCGTAAAATATCTTGTAAAATATTCATTTTTCGATTATTTTACTTTAATACTTTTATGTACAAAATAATGAGAAGAATCAATTAGTATAAAGAAAACACATAATTGTTTCGAAGAAAAAATATGTAATTTGCAATTAACAATTCCATATTTTTTCTTAAAAACAATTGTATGTTTTCTTTACACCAATTGATTCCTCTCATTATTTTGTACATAAAAGTATTAAGGTAAGATAATCGAAAAATGAATATTTTACAAAATATTTTATGGTTTATGTAAAATTAAGAAATGATTTCAAGTCTCATAACTCGAAAAGTACTTGATGAAAAAATACTTTATTATAGTGTTTTGGAAAACTCTCGGGATAAGCTATAAGAATATGCAATGAAAAATAGTAGGTTCCATTTAAGAAATTGAAGGTGACCTTTATGTGACCTTCAAATGACTGTCCAAGATCAAATTTTTGTCACCATCTTATGGCCCCCTTGAAGCCACATAATTTTTGTTTGAAACATTTTTCGATTTAACACAGTGTTTCTGAGATATTTGAGTGGGTCCTTTAAAATGGGACACCCTGTATATTGGCAAGTTTAGGCTATATACTTTTTATTATTATTATTTTATTCCACGAATGTCAAAAAGAATACGTAAAAAAGTGCATGTTTCTTAAAAATAGAAATTTTTGTGTTTGATAATATATTTCAAAAAATCAAATCGATTCGAGATAATTATGACATGTCCCTTGTTAGTCAATAAGTATAATAATCTTAAATAAAGTAATTTTTCCCATAATTTATGTTAAAATATTAAGTTCCATTAAACTATAATTCATTAATTCTGAAATAGTTATATTGAGGAAATTTTATTGACAAACTTGAAAAGCTTGATTCGTACTTGATGCAATGATTATAATTAGATGCTTCTATGTTATATTGGCAAGTTTATACTGCGTACTTTTTATTACGATTTTTTGCGAAGCTTTAATTATGAAGAAAAAGGATGGTATTTCCTTTAGACCATTAATACATACAACCTTTGGTTACATAAGAACATTAATATTAATTATTATGTTATAATACAAATCTCATAGACACACACGTACGCACATCCACGCGTGAGCACGCACGCGCATACACACACATACATGTATTTAAAAACTATTCCACTAGTCTTTAGTTAATTGGCATTACATGGCATATGGCCTCAAGATACAATGGATGAGTCATAATCAGTTCTATATTTAACAATAAAATGTAATTCAGTGTAGTTATTTACTTAATTTATCGTATGACTTTTCTCTAAGCAAATATAGATTATACATAGACTAATTTCAATATCGCGACAGTAAGTGAAAATAATGATTTATATCTCTTCCGTCATGTAGAAGCGATGATAACAAATTTTGTGCTACATAATTTTGTGCTATAATATTGCATACATCGATTATTAATTTATCGAATTTTTAAAAGCGAATTACAAAAGCGAGTACAACTAATCATGAGTAAGAGGGAAAATTTTCATGCTATTATGATGAGTATATGAAGTTTTTAGAGATAGAGAGAGCATTTCTTTTCCACTTTTAACACATATTTAAATTTTATAAATAAAAAGTTGGAGAATTATCAAGAATACAATATTTAAAAAGAGACTGCCACGAGATACATTCTTTGCATTATCACTGATATGCCAATACATTAAATATGAGGATGATCGTATTCCTTTTATGAATGGACGGATTTTATGTATGACTTGATTGAGTTCCTCCCATCCGTTGTTGCATCATAGTCAAAAGTAATTCGGAATACTGCTGCATCATATTAACTACCTTGCCTTGATCCTGACCAGCGAGTAGTTCTTGAAACTTCGCGGTCGCCTCGTTGGTGATGATACTCTTACTGCTTCCGTCGTTATGACTCTCATTACCGGCAATGACCAATCTTAAAGTACGCATGGTTTCGTTAACAGATGATTCCAGTCCTCGTAACATCGTGTCCCTATCGATCGCTTCTGCAGAGGGGTCATCATTATTGTCTATCGTCAGACGTTTGTACAGTTGCACAACATTATCCGCAGTTCGCATGAGTTCGTCCGCGATCGTATTACACAATTGTGTGGACACTGTGAAAATGCATGTCAATATTAGGTATATATATTAGAAATTTGATAGAATAAAATATGATTAGTGTAAATGATATATCATGCAGAGGGCAGGTTATATTGCTTCTAAAATCCGTATGAGATCATGCTATTATAACTGATATCTAATCGAATCATGTAATCTTCTAATGACAAATTTTTAAGATCTATTGATGAAGAAATATTATCATGAGTTTTTTGAATGATCTATCTCTATGATTTCTTATAGTATAATAATTAAAACTATATAAATATAAAATGTATGGTACAAATTTATATACAGGGATTGGGGTACGTAGATGTATCTAATAATATAGGTGACAAATATCTTATGAATGATTATTGAAACTCTTATTTTACACATTAATTTGTCATAAAGTATCTTACAAAATTGTAATATATTCTTTTATTTAAAAAAAATAAAGCTGTCACAATATTTAAAAAAGAATTAAAATTTTAAGTTTCTTCACTATATACAGGGTGTTTCAGACCCCCCATTTAAAAACTAGAGAAGTGGTTATTTCAAGAAAGTAAAAACATTTTCTTCATAAATCGGGTGCGCTCTATTGAATGATGATATTTTCAACTTCTAATTCCGGCCGGAAATAGGCGATTCAGACCGGAAGAGCATTTTTTTTTTAAATGGAAGCCCTATTTTTCATTGCATATTCTTGTAGCTTACCTCGAGAGCTTTCCAAAACATTATAATAAATTATTTTTCCATGAAGTACTTTTCGAGTTATGAGGCTCGAAATCATTTCTTAATTTTACATAAACCGTAAAATATCTTGTAAAATATTCATTTTTCGATTATTTTACTTTAATACTTTTATGTACAAAATAATGAGAAGAATCAATTAGTATAAAGAAAACACATAATTGTTTCGAAGAAAAAATATGTAATTTGCAATTAACAATTCCATATTTTTTCTTAAAAACAATTGTATGTTTTCTTTACACCAATTGATTCCTCTCATTATTTTGTACATAAAAGTATTAAGGTAAGATAATCGAAAAATGAATATTTTACAAGATTTTATGGTTTATGTAAAATTAAGAAATAATTTCAAGCCTCATAACTCGAAAAGTACTTCATGGAAAAATAATTTATTATAGTGTATTGGAAAGCTCTCGAGGTAAGTTACAAGAATATGTAATGAAAAATAGGGGGTTCTTTTTAAAAAAATGCATTTCTGGTCTGAATCGCCTATTTCCGGCCGGAACCAGAAGTTGAAAATATCACCATTCGATAGAGCGCACCCGATTTATAAAGAAAATATTTCTACTTTTTTTAAATAACCACTTCTCTAGTTTTTAAATGGGTGGTACGGTCTAAAACACCCTGTATATCTTAAATAAAAAAAAAAAAAAAAAAAAAAAATATATATATATATATATATATATATATATAAAATACTATATACCTATATCTTAAATATATCTTAAATAAAATAACTTTTATTCAAAATATTCTTTATAATTCTATTATTTAAGAAAATAACTGAATATATACATTTAAACCAAACATATTGTCTATAACTTCAGCAGATTTTTATTTTTAGAATTATTAAAAATATTGTTTATCAAGAATAGCCAATTAGAATGAATGATATGAAAGAATGTATTTGTATTACATGTTTTGCCCAATTATTAAAAATTACTCAACATTTTTATCATCAAATTCAATTATATTCAGATAAATGATGCAAAAACACTTCTGAATTGAACGATAATTTATCTTTTGATTTTAAAATTTCTTTTTTCCATTTTTATCATGAAAGAAATGCAAAAAATATATGTACACGTGAACACTTATACACTCGTTCTAGCAGGGAAGTTTCAGAATCAGAAAATATTGAAGAAATGAGAAGTTTCAGGATCCTTATCTTTATCTGCGAAAGGCACGCACAGAAGATTAGATATTCAGATATCCGTCTCATCCACATCGTTGGTCCTGAGTGACACCAAAAGCGGGTTATGGAAGTTTTTTGTTAAATAACTTTTAAACTAATTAAAAACTGTTTTAAATAAAAGGATTTGAAGAATAAAATGTTAATTTATTTAAAAAATATCAAGTTAATCTTGAAATAATCTTTAACATTATTATCTATTATTTATAGAATGTTCAAAATCATTGCTATGTGCCTTCAGAACTTTTTTAAAATATTATTTTATATAACTTTTTTTTTATAGATATTTGAATGTTACTTTGAAAATGGAACATCTTGTGCATACATCCACATATATACATAATATGTACAAAATTAATAATATAAATTAAAAGATAAATTAAATAACTATATGAATATCTAGATAATATAATAGATAAAAAATTCTTTGCTAAATAATATTATAACAAGATTATAAATAAATAAAAACAAGTATTTAATAAAATAAATACTTTGAATCAAAGCGTATATTTGTTATTTTGATAGTATATCATAATTCATAAAATTCCATTGTGCAACACATGCAGCATTTATAGTTATATCTGTTTCGTAAACTGTTACGAGCTTGATAATTTTCCTATCATAGCATGATCACTTACAAATTTTGGATACAGTGAAATTATATTCGCGGCACATCATTTTTAACAGGCGTTTTTAGATTACCTAATGTTTTATCCATGCCTACTGCAAGAATAAAATTGATATTAGATATCGGTATATGATCTATTAATTAAAGAAAAATCAAATACCAATTAATCACCAATTATTTGCAGTCATACAAATATCACATTATGGAAAAAAAACGATTTTTTAGTATTATTGTTCCTGCAATCTTGCATGCTTACATTTTTGCATGATGATGAAAAGATGATTGATATATTATTACATGTTTATAATGAATTTTGGATACTCACATTCGGCACTAGCTACATCGATAGTACGATCCGTATCTTTGACTGGTAACTCGTGTGGACTAGGCTCCAGCTGATTTCTATTTGTCGCGGATATTTTGCTTCCATTTTGTTCGATGACACTAGCACCACTCCGACCATTTGTTATAATAATTGTCGATCCAGATCTTCTCATTGTTGTGCTGGGTAAACTTAAACTAATCAAAATAGATAATATAGTTGCTAATATATATAAAATATATATCATATAAAAATATATATAAAATATATATAAAAAATTAATATATATAATATACAGGGTGACCCCGAACGTTCCAGCCAGACTTTGAGATCTTATAGGAAATTTAATTCTGAACAAAAAATTTCCTATAAACATGGGTCGAAAAATGCTTCCTTAAGAAGTTATTGTTCAAAAACCTCTGATGAAGGAAGAGTAAAAGGTGAAAAGAAAATGAAATAAAAAGAAAATGAAACTAAATAAATTTCTTGAAAAACGTCTTTATTTATTTTCTACTATTACGTGCTATTACTAAAATATTAGTTAAAAAAAATTATTTTATTTTCATAAAAGAAAAAGATTTTTATTTTTATCGTTTTTTTCAAGAAATTTATTTAGTTTCATTTTCTTTTTATTTTATTTTCTTTTCTTTTCACCTTTTGTTCTTCCTTCATCAGAAGTTTTTGAGCGATAACTTCTTAAGGAAGCATTTTTCGACCCATAGGAAATGTTTTGTTCAGAATTAAATTTTCTATAAGATCTCAAAGTCTGGCTGGAACGTTCGGGGCCACCCTGTATATAATAAATAAAATATATATAATATAATATATATAATATTATATATAATATTATATATAAAATTATATATAAAATTAGTTTAACATATTTAATATTAATTTTTAATCTTACATAGGTGGATAAAAATTAAAAATTAAGTATGTTAAACTACTAAATTTATTATTATTTAGTAATTTGTTTATTGCGCGTATTTTACTTGCGACACGTACGTATATATGTATGTATTAAATTACTAATGTTTTATTTTATTATATATTTGTTGGAAATTTCATTGTTAAAAGTTAAGAAATATTTAAATTATCAAATCTTTACCTAGCAGAAGAATGATCAATACTAATACTTCTAGGTCTTGGTGGTAACGCTGGTTTCCCTCCATTTCCATTCGAAGAGGTATCCTCTGAACTGGAATCTTCTTGATTTCCTACTTGACTTAGATTAACTGCAAAACAATTATATATTTTAAATATAAACGTAACAAAATATAATATTTGTATGTCTTTTGAAAAGTAAAAGTGTAAGTACTAGTTGAGAAAGCTCCTTGCATTCCACGTCTTCTCAAAATTGACGAAACATTGCTACCAGAAGAGCTTGATTTATTTTGATGATTGATTTTGTTTTGAGAACTAATCGTTGGCCTCATTAAACCGCTCATTCTGTTGTTGGTGGATTGACTATTCCATCCTCTACTATTTCCCCCTACTGTGCCAGCATCCGATTCTGAATCGCTCTATACAAATTATCATAATTTTTATTTCATGTAAATTTAATTCTTTTAGTTCTTTTTAGGTATGTTACAAAAACTTACTTGGTTTAAAACACCAACGCTGCTGCTTCTTGTTATATGTGTCTTTCCTGAAGCATGTTTGGATTGACTGCTAAGATTGGCACTTCCAGAACCTGTTCTTGACGTTGTGTTTATGTTTTTATTCCCTAATTTTCCTGAAACTATTATCACTAATTAAAAAAAGAAATCTTCTCGGACATAATTTATATTTTTTAATATGTGTACAACACACACATACACACATTCTTACATGCGCGAATACATGCATTTATTACGAATTAAAATCTTCGTTGTTTGCGGAAATGTAGGAAAAATTTTGGAAAAAAATTTGTACTATTTGAAAGGATAAATAATATTACATTAATCAATCAATGGTTTCATTAAAAAAATTTCTTCTACTTTCCAGAATCATAAATAGGCGTATTTAAAACTTCCTAGGTCATCCTATTAATTATCTTGTTTGTTTACTTTTTCATTTAAGAGACCACATTTTACATAATATAGTTTAACAAATTAAATCAAACGCTGTAAATATATCAAAAACTCACAGAAAGAACTTAATTGTAATATTTCTGAATTCAAATAGAGACGACAATTGTAATATATTTCTTAATATATTTCTAAATATATTCTAAAATATATTTCTAAATTATTCTAAATTATTTCTAATTTTATCTAAATTTCTAAATTAGTCTAAATTAATTCTAAATATCAAAATATGTGGAACATTTGCCTTTTAAAAAATATTAGAGAGAGAGAGAGAGAAATATAAAAAATTGATTAATTTAAACGCATTCAGTGCATTGTACAAAGACAATTTCATAATACATGTAACAATTCTATGCTCATATTCTTTATTGATTAAATATGAATAATTACTATAATGAATGTACATGCAAATAATAATTAAAGTAAGAGATCATACATAAGGATATTATAAAATATCAAATGTGATATTTAATAAAAAATACATGCGACACTGCTTTTAGCCCTGTACAGTGCGCTTAAGAAATTCCATTATAATTATATGATAGAACATTTAACATTTAATTTAATTTTAAATTTAATATTTAATATTTAATATTTAATTTTTATTTTAATGGAACATATGTATCAAATATAAATAGTATTCATAGATAAGATTCATAATATACTATAGAAGCATATATCAAAATTTCAAGATATACATTATTTATACAGAATGATAAAAAATACCTTGCACAGGACCATGCAGTAACCTATTTGAGGGGTTGATGGAAAGATCACTCAGCGAACAGGCACGTCTCATGCCACCCCCTTCTTCTTCGCTATCAATAACTTTTGACGAAATTCTTGTCCCATTACTGCCAACTGTTGACAACGTGCACACACATGCACTAATAGCTACTATTTATATAATATACCCTGCTTAAAAAAATTGATAGAAACGATAGAAAGAAATTTTGTTGTAATTATACATATATTTTTTTTAACACAAATTATTTTAATTAAATTTGTATTTCTATTGAGATATAGAAGAGTTATTTATTTGTATTATATAGTTGGTATTGTTATTTGTTTTTTTATATATAATTATATCTTATTTAAAACGATTACAATAAAATATAATAAAATAATAAAATATCCAAATCTGTTTAAACAAATTTTATTTATCTATTTTTTTATTTTTTTCTATCGGATGATTTTAAACAGGGCATTTCTTTTTTTTCTTTCGAAAATTAAGCTTGTCTTCTAAGTTCTTAAATAAATTGCAATATAAAAACCATTTGCTTTTATTAATAGCATGTATAAGAATATAAAAAATTGATAGAAACGATAGAAAGAAATTTTGTTGTAATTATATATATATATATTTTTTTTTATCATAAACTATTATTTTAATTAAATTTGTATTTCTATTGAGGTATAGAAGTTATTTATTTGTATTATATTGTTGTATTGTTATTTGTTTATATATATATATATATATATATATATATATATAAAATTATATCTTATTTAAAACGAATATAATAAAATATAATAAAATATCTAAATCTGTTCAAACAAATCTTTTTTTATCTATTTTTTTATTTTTTTCTATCGGATGATTTTAAACAGGGCATTTCTTTTTCTTTTTTTTCTTTCGAAAATTAAGCTTGTCTTCTAAGTTTTTAAATAAATTGCAATATAAAAACCATTTGCTTTTATCAATAGCATATATAAGAATATAAAAACGAATATATGTTAAAATATTTAAAAAATTTTAAATATTTTAATATATAATTTAAATTAATATAAATATAATTTAAAATAGATTTAAAATATTTTAAATCTATTTTAAATATTAAAACATTCAAGTTTAAAGCGTAATAATAGTTTTGCAAATTTTGTATGAATTAAACCGAGAAATTGTTTTGACATCGAGTTTCTTGCATTAATGTTAAATATAAAATAAAAATTGATAGTAAAAAAAATAGGATAGTGATAAAGGGAAAAAAAAGGATAATATCATTATTTAATGCTAAAAGCATGTGCAATTGCATTTCGTGCCAAATGAAAATAATAATAATATTAATAAAATTATATCCCAACAATGAAAAGCGTTCAAAACTGAAAAGTAAGTTGCTGTTGCCTTGAAATAAAATTGGAATAATTGTATTTACATTCACATGGATAGTACGTATATGTCTAACATATTTCTTCTGCAATCATGTAACGTGCTGATGCGATTTACTAGTGCACCGTAATCGCAAGAAATATATTCCTTGTCGATTTATAAAAATAAATTCCTTGTCGATTTACAAAAATAAATTCCTTGTCGATTTATAAAAATAAATTCCTTGTCAATTTACAAAAATAAATTCCTTGTCGATTTATAAAAATAAATTCCTTGTCGATTTATAGAAATAAATTCCTTGTCGATTTATAAAAATAAATTCCTTGTCGATTTACAAAAATAAATTCCTTGTCGATTTATAGAAATAAATTCCTTATCGATTTATAGAAATAAATTCCTCGTCGATTTTCGTATTTATACAAACTATAACAATTCCAACAACATGTAAAAATACACGCAAGCATTTTCTATTCGCTCAATATACCTGCGTAAGGATGTTTCGTGGGAAGAATCACTTGATTGATCGTAGGCAGGGTTTTCGTCCACTTCATGTAACTCTGACATCGCGACGCGGGCGGCCACATTCTCTTTGGTGAATTGGTGCAGCTCGAGGCAGACGTGGAGGAGCCGCTCTCCATCAGCGATCTGTCCATCGCCGATGTGTCGACGCAATCGCAGTCATTATTGACGCAGAATTTATTCTCTCGCTCGGCCTGCAACTTAGCGAAGTTCTCGCCCCTATCCTGGCTCATTCGCAGACACTTCTCCTTCATAAAGTACTGTTTCTGCCTCACTAAATTTTCAAACTCCTTAGAAAGTAGCTTCACGGTACCCTCGATGGCGCGAGTTATCCGGATATCCATGTTCGCGTCCAGGTTGTCAATTCGTTTATTGGCAGATTGTAAATCGCAGGAGGCCCCACCAGGCTCCAACGAGTCATAAGTTTCCGTGTCTTTCGTCGGGATTTCATTTTCGAAGCAGCTTTGCTTCTTGTCGGAGGACACGCCTTGCTTCTCGAGCGTATGATGAGCTTTTCCCAGGTAACGAGTCTTCATTAAATGTGAGGAATCGCTCCTGTCGCATAAAAATGTTTCCTGCAATCTGGCATTGTTATCGGTGCAATGAGCTTGCAAACTGTAGAACTTGTGCCTAGGGTCTTTATCGTTGTCAGATTCTTGCTCTGGGTAGTTTGTAGACTGCAGAACTTGCCCCATTGTCTCGGTATTCATTGGATCTCGTTTAATTTCTGACTCGCCAACTCGATATTCCGAATAAGAATTCGTGGAAAGCGCTGTATAATCGGAATCGGTGTTTTTTACAGCAGATAACGATGGGGTATCGATGTACTTCCAGCTTGGTTTCATTCTGTTACGCATACTCTGCGTACGAGATACATTTCTTTTGGGCTTCGGTGGCTTATGAGGGACAAAGTTATTCAAAATCATCATCGATTCCGGTTTCACAGGCACTTTCAGGCTACTGCTACGCGAGATCGCTTCTGATTTGCCATAAATTGTCGGATCTACATTTTTCTTGGGTTCATTGTCAAAATTAAATTCATAGTAAACGCGAGTTTCCGGAGACGCGTTATTTTCCAGCAAATTTATGTCGTTCTTCGTTTGGCTAATTCTGGTGTCTTGCAAGGATCTGGACCTGAATACCGTTCTGCACAATGCATTCTCGTTGACGGAATCTTGCGGATTATCTACAGCAGCTCGTGCAACATTGTCGGGGTTTTCGCTATAGGTTTCGGAATTTTGCCTCTTTCGTTTGTAATGCGAATCGAACAGCATTTCCAAGGGCGCAGATTTCACCAGAGAATCGGAATCATCGGTTAAGACACTCTCTGTGCTTCGGTGGGCGGTATTCTCGCGCAGTGGAAATATCTGATAATCCGACTCGTCAGTCAATATACTTTCTTGACTTCTACAAGCCTGCATCTTACGTCGAGACAGAAAGAAGCTCGCACTCGAATGCCTATCGTGGTCGTAATGAGTGTAATCTATATCGACGCTTTCCTTGGAGAAGGACTCGATAGAGGCGTCTGAAAGTATGCTTTCCTGAGAGCCGGTTAAAATTTTCTTTTGAAAACTCGGATAATTCGTCGTGTAATTTCTATGGTCGTCCATGTGAACGTTGATCTGATAATCGCTGACGCAACGTCGGGGTGGATTTTTAAAGTCCCCCTCCAAGGAATCGTCGCTGAAGTTGCCATTTTCCTCAGCATCGTCCATTTTTTCCTTGAGATTTTCCATGTTACGCTCGTTCATGGCCGGTAAACTTTCAACGGACTTCGCGATGTTCTCCATATCCTCATCTAGACCGATGAAATAGCTGCACGATTTTCTCTTCTGAGCAAACCTCGCGAACCGAGCTCCATTGCTCTTCCTACATTGTTCCTTCAGTAATTTCAATTCCTCGCACACGGGAGATTCGGGCAAGGATTGATTGGCCTTATTCAAGGACAGCTTATACTTTTCAGTTTTCTTTAACGTCAATGTTAATGGACGGTTAAGATTTGGTTTTGTTTTTTCATCGATAGATAATATAGTCTGATTTTTTGGGAAACAGTTTTCATTTGGTACCTCTAGTTTAGATAATACATTTCCCATACCTTGAACCTTGTTAGTAAGTTGTTGAGGTTTAAATGTGGACTTTGGATTTAGCATAGGTTTGCAGGGATTAGTCGGTTTTGAAAATTGATTTTTCTGACCGAATCTGTTACCTGTGAGCCTCGAACGATGATGCTTCGTTTGTATATGGCTGCTCAAATCGGATATGCTCTGGCTCGATTTCAATGATGATCTGTAGCCGACCTGTATGTAAAGAATAATCGAGATTATTGTAAGTCTTATACAGGGTGTTTCAGACCACCCATTTAAAAACTAGAGAAATGATTATTTCAAAAAAGTAAAAACATTTTCTTTATAAATCGGGTGCGCTCTATCGAATGGTGATATTTTCAACTTCTGGTTCCGGCCGGAAATAGGCGATTCAGACCGGAAGTGCATTTTTTTAAATGAAACCTTCTATTTTTCATTGTATATTCTTGTAACTTACCTCGAGAGCTTTCCAAAATACTATAATAAATTATTTTTTCATGAAGTATTTTTCGAGTTATGAGGCTTGAAATTATTTCTTAATTTTACATAAACCATAAAATCTTGTAAAATATTCATTTCTCGATTATCTTACCTTAATACTTGTTATGTACAAAATAATGAGAAGAATCAATTGGTGCAAAGAAAACATACAGTTGTTTTTAAGAAAAAATATGGAATTGTTAATTGCAAATTACATATTTTTTCTTAGAAACAACTATGTGTTTTCTTTACACCAATTGATTTCTCTGATTATTTTGTACATAAAAGTATTAAGGTAAGATAATCGAAAAATGAATACTTTACAAGATATTTTACAGTTTATGTAAAATTAAGAAATAATTTCAAGCCTCATAACTCGAAAAGTACTTCGTGGAAAAATAATTTATTATAGTGTTTTGGAAAGCTCTCGAGGTAAGCTACAAGAATATGTAATGAACAATAGGAGGTTCCATTTAAAAAAATGCACTTCCGGACTGAATCGCCTATTTTCGGCCGGAACCAGAAGTTGAAAATATCACCATTCGATAGAGCGCACCCGATTTATAAAGAAAACGTTTTTAGTTTTTTGAAATAACCACTTCTCTAGTTTTTAAATGAGTGGTTCGTGCGGTCTGAAACACCCTGTATATTTCGCTTTTTCTATGCAAAAATAATTATTATTTACACTTTGTAATTTCCTTCTAGTCTCCTCTATCCTTCTTTGCAATTCTTCCCGTTTCTTCACTACATCGACATCGCCTCTTGCGTGTTTGGTTGCGTTAACCACTGTTACATTACGTATTGTGGTGTTACCTTCACCACCACTAAGTCTGCAATAGATCAGTTTAATAGATAATTAGAAATTATTAAATATCAATAAAATCAATAAAATATTAATATTAATATTAATAAATTAATATTAATTATATATTAATATATATATTAATTTATTAATATTAATATTAATAATTAATAATTAAAATATAAATATTAATAATTTCAAGTATTCATTAAATCTTATTCTATCCACAAATTTCATTTTACCTTCCATGAAATTGGGAACTAATACTCGTCGTTTTTATACGATTCACAGGTTCCTCCGCTCCACTAAGTGACTCGAAGGCGTTTTTCAAATATTTTTCCCTATGATTCTGTTTAGCGAGCTGATCGAAACCTTCTGAACTAGCCTCGGATAATATGGATAGTGGATTTCTTTCGGCGCTAGGTGTTGACGCACCGCCTTCCGAATCAGATTCATCCTGACTTCCAGACGCGGTCAATTCGCTCGTCCGACTCTCCTTTTCTGCGTTCTTCAATCTTTTTTGCCGCCTTTGCGATCTGTGTATTTAAAATATACTTTGCGTTATTTTCTAAGATACTTGTAATCCTAAAAAGAATATATTAACAAATTAAAAACAAACCTTCGAAGCTCCTCAACGTCTATTGCATTAACAGTGAATTGATTTGATATAACATCTTCTGATGGAGGATAGTATATTAATCTATGATGTGATTTCTCAGATCCAGTCGTTCCATTTTCTCCTTCGGAATAATCTTCAACATCCCCATCATGCTCAGTGCTTTCATGATCCTGAATGACATAATATTTTTTTATAAGAATATGGTGAATTGTTGTTAATAATAAACATGAACAATTAACAATTAAATATAGATGACCTATAATTAATAAAATAATAATATTAATTATAGGTAATAATAATAATATTAATTAAAAAATAATAATATTAATTAAAATCATAATATCATTATGAATGTTATTTACACAAATGGTGCATTTTATTATGTTAAGAAAAAGCGGCTTCATAAATTATAAGAAAGCTATCTTTGAATAATGATTTCTACAAATCTTGATTTTTCAAAGCTTTACGTTTACGACGTTGTACCTCAAATTTAAAGCTGCCAAGGCTGCTATCATCGGTGTGGTGACGACTCCTCGACTGACGTGTTAATTCCGTGATACTGTTTCTTATTGTTACCTTATCATCAATTATCTACGCCAGCGAGCGAAATGAAATATATTTAGCAAAACACAAATGTGATGGTGAAATAAAGAATAATTTAAATTAAAATAAAGAAGATTAAAAAGACAAGAGCAAAGTAAAATAATCAAATAAAATGTCTGTTTAGTAAAATCAAATTAAAAAAATAAAAATGCATGCGATTAAATGATATTATTATTTATAATTTCGTTAGTACCTGTTTTGTCTCATTTTCTATCTCTTTATAACTTTCGGGACAAGGCTGAAATATGTTTTCTCCCTCTTCCTAAAATCACAATTAAATTAATATTTTGCTCGCAAATTAAAAAATGCAATAGTAATTTATTTTATAAGCTATACATTTATCACCCATTTATATTCTATATTATTATTAATCATTATTCATATTATTATTATTTATATTATTCTATACTATCATATTATTGTCTTCAAATGAAAATTAAAAATGATAATTGTAGAGAATGTGATTAATAAATGTCAAAAATCAGATACTTAATTTGCATATCTGTTTAAATATATATTTTATAATAATACTAACTCTTTTACTAATTGTTATTTCTCGGCGATATTCACTGCTATATTTCGTCTCCGTGCCACTGTCGATGGAGCTATCCTTCGAACCATCGCCACCGCCACCGCCATCCGAATCAATGGCACTACGAGAAGGAGGAAACGGTATAACTTCATCACTATCGTAAACGGATTTTACAGTGATACCATCGCTTTCTTGAACTCTTTGTGCCCATCTTCCTTTGGGTAGATCAACATTAAGGGATCTGACATTTAAGTCAAGCACCGCGCTATCATCAGTATTTGCGGTATTTATTTGTTTCTTCGCCCATAATGGCAATTGACCCACGCTAAATCTGTAATCCATGCCGATACCTTGAGGCGTCGGATTCGCATTGGGATCAAGGAAATCCGGTGGGGGTGATCCGAAAGTTTCTTTGTCCAATCGCATATCAATGCTACTAACATTGACTTGAGGCAGTTTCCTACGAACACAACATATCCGATAATAGTACAATTTTTAATCGAAGTTGCGACTTTCATATAAATCAATAAAATTTATAAATAAATAAATAAAATAAATAAATAAATTATATATATATATATATATATATATATATATATATATATATATATATATATACACACACACACACACAGGGTGTCCCAAAACTCATAATCAATCTTTCAAAAATGCATTTTTTTTTAAATGGAAGCCCTATTTTTCATTGCATATTCTTGTAGCTTACCTCGAGAGTTTTCCAAAACATTATAATAAATTATTTTTCCATGAAGTACTTTTCGAGTTATGAGGCTTGAAATCATTTCTTAATTTTACATAAACCATAAAATATCTTGTAAAATATTCATTTCTCGATTATCTTACCTTAATACTTTTATGTACAAAATAATGAGAGGAATCAATTGGTCTAAAGAAAACAACTATGTGTTTCCTTTACACCAATTTATTCCTCTCATTGTTTTGTACATAAAAGTATTAAGGTAAGATAATCGAAAAATAAATATTTTATGGCTTATGTAAAATTAAGAAATTATTTCAAGCCTCATAACTCGAAAAGTACTTGATGGAAAAATAATTTATTAGTGTTTTGGAAAGCTCTTAAGGTAAGCTACAAGAATATGCAATGAAAAATAGGGGGCTCCATTTTAAAAAATGCCCCTCCGGTCTGAATCGCCTATTTCCGGCCGGAACCAGAAGTTGAAAATATCACCATTCGATAGAGCACACCCGATTATAAAGAAAATATTTTTACTTTTTTGAAATAACCGCTTCTCTAGTTTTTAAATGGGTGATACGGGTGATCTGAAACATCCTGTATATATATATATATATATATATATATATATATATATATATATAATATATATATATAAATGTAGGGGCAAGAAAAATTACTCACTTGCCGGCACGCATTGCTTGTTGAGCTAGACGAGCTTGCATAGTCACAACCATATCATGTGGAACGCGCCATATGAACACACAACCATCGCCGCTCGCAGATACGAGGTGACGACAGTCCGGACTGAAACGTAAACCTGTCACCAGTTCCGAGTGGCCGACCATAGTGGCCATACACTCACCGCTGTAATAATCGTATACGCAAAGTGTTTTGTCTGTACATGAGGTAGCTACATAAATACCGGACGCATCTGAAAATATATAAAACATTAAATAAAACATTTATAGATTGAAGAAATTCAAAATAAATAGCTATTTTACTTTATTTCTATTTTTTAATATATGAATTTTTTTAAACAGCGACATTTGAAAAATTATAAATTTAAGTAATTTAGAATTTTACTGAAAGAATTTTAATTTATTTCTGTAATGTAAAAATATGATTCCGTAAAAATATTATTTTGGTGAAAATTTAATCCATTTGTTGAATATATAAATATAATTCTAAAAAATAAATAATTATATTACAGTAGAGCTTCCATAAATTAGATCCTTATTTTTTTAAATTTCTCTCCTAAATTTTACTAATATTAATTATGCTATTTTCATGTCATAAATTACGCAAATTACGTGATAATGTGTATGTAGCAACATATATTATAACATATATGTATATATTTTATATATATAACATATATATATATATATATATATATATATATAAATTATGAATATTTAATTATTCTCGGGAATGCTGACAGCTTTGCTTACGCAACTGTACATAATTATTCCGCGCAAATGCATGCAAAATGCATCGAGTTTCACACTATAATGGGAGGACGGATTCTACAACCATTTTTTTCCAAGAATTTTTCACTCTTTGAGTCCTTTGAAGCAATAATGATTTTATTGTATTTTTATATGTATTAAGTATTTATTAATTTTATTCAATATTGATTTTGTTAGGGAATTTTCCACTATTATAATAGAACAATTATTAATTATCTTACCTAGAACGACTTTGATTAGTGAGCCATCGTCACTAACGGAGCCTTTAAAAGTTTTATTGTGTTTACCCGTTGCAACATTGTAAACTCTAATATTTCTATCTTGACACGCAGTTAAAACATGCTTTTGTCCAGAATCGACTTCCATATCATACAGAGTGGTTTTTCCCTGAGCGTTATGATCTCTTGCGAATTGTGGCATTCCACCTGGTGTCTATGCAAAAAAGATAATCATATTAATATATTATTTTAAAAATAAATTGAAACTGATCATCGATTATTAAATTAATCAAATTATTTACCGATTGCAGTTGTCTAAAAATAATACTTTTATCGGCGCCGCAGGATACCATCTGTATTTGATTATCCTGATTTGATTGGTTGAAGAATCTGACAGCAGTAATGGACGAGCTGTGATCGTCGAGCGTTTGCAAGAAATTATATCCCTGATCCACGCTAAAAACGTGAATTAATCTATCTCGTGACGCACTTGCCAATAGCCTGGGGACATTTACCGAGTATTGCGAAAATTTCGAATACTCTAAACACAACACCTCAGCGTCATGTGCCTCTATTAAACACAATTCTTCTAACGAAGATACATCGTGAATTCTAATATTACCAGATCTGTAAGAAAAATACACGAATGTTATATTTCTTATCCCTTTTTTTTCATTATTTTATTTACTTTTTTTTGTTTATCAGCTATACAGGGTGTCCCATTTTAAAAGTTCCACTCTCATAACTTTTTTAATTTTGATTGTAGAAAAAAATGTTTCAGACAAAAGTTATATGGCTTGAAGGGGGACATAAGATGGTGTCATTAGTTTGGCATTAAAGAGTCACCTGAAGGTCACGTGAAGGTCACATCCAACTTTTTAAATGGGACACCCTATATGCTTTTGCATATTCTTATAATTCATCTTGAGAGCTTTCTAAAACACTATAATTAAGTTAGTTTTCATTAAGTACTTTCCGAGTTATAAAGCTTGAAATCATTTCTTAATTTTACATAATACATAAATCATTTCTTAATTTTACTTAATACATAAACCGTAAAATATCTAGTAAAATATTCATTTTTCGATTATCTTGTCTTGATACTTTTATGTACAAAATAATGAGAAGAATCAATTGGTGTAAAGAAAACACATAGTTATTTTTAAGAAAAATATGTAATTTGCAATTAACAATTACATATTTTTTTTCGAAACAACTATGTGTTTTTTTACACCAATTGATTTCTCTCATTATTTTATACATAAAAGTATTAAGGCAAGATAATAGAAAAATGAATTTTACTAGATATTTATTTTACTAGATATTTTACGGTTTATGTAAAATTAAGAAATGATTTCAAGCTTCATAACTCGGAAAGTACTTAATGAAAACTAACTTAATTATAGTTTTGGAAAACTCTCGAGATGAACTACAAGAACATGCAAAAGCATATAGGGTGTCCCATTTAAAAAGTTGGATGTGACCTTCACGTAACCTTCACTCTTCAATGTCAAACTAATGATACCATCTTATATCCCCCTTCAAGTCATATAACTTTTGTCTGAAACGTTTTTTTTCTACAATCAAAATTAAAAAAAGTTGAGGGTGGAACTTTTAAAATGGGACATCCTGTATATATAGGAGTGTATAGGATAAGGGAGAAGTAACAGAATGCTCTGAAATTTCAAAAACTATAGATTTTAGAAAAAAATATTTAGATAAAAGTCATAGAACATAATGTGTTCTAATTTTTATATTATATTGTTTTGTTAATTCCAGTGATATTGTAAATTTGATGATTCATAATTCAAAAATATGATTGATGATTCATAACTCACAAATACCACATTAGCTGTAATAGATAATAGGGATTCCTATTTAAAAAATAGAGACAATCTTCATACGACTTTCATAAAGTAATTTAAGATTTAAATAATGACACAATTGTAAAATAAATTGATCATCTATGATTTTTCTTTAACAGATTTTTTTTATAAAACCAATAGTTATGAAATATCAGATCGTTTCATTTGTTGTATTAATTAAATTTTTATATTTTACCTATCTCCGGAGGCAAGATGTTTGCCATCAGGACTGACTCTTATAGATCTTACGCCATTACGACCATCATAAGACGCGTCGCTTTTTTCCGTGGATCCTGCAGCGGCTAAATCCAGATCCTTCAGATAAGTCAATTCTGGATCCACATACAAGACTTTGAGCAATTCCTGTTGATAAAAAAAAAAAAGTGTTATAAAATCGGCTTTATACAATTGTGTCTCATTCTGTTATATTTTACAAAAAAAAGGATAAAGCGCTCTTATATACTAACGTTGCTATAAATGTTTCGTTTGTACAATGTATTATTTGGCGAGATATCCTTCTCCAAATTCCAAATCCTTATTGTGTCGTCGCTGGAGCAAGTGATGAAGCTCCCAAGCGGCATTGCACCGATAGAGTCTGGACCGGCTGGATACATCTCGACACCCCAAATGCAGGCCGAATGATATAGAAACGAGTGCGACTTCCCGACTCGTCTGATATCTTTTATATCCCAAACGTAAATGCTATGGTCATTGTAGATGCAGGTCAGCTTGTTGTTTCGTTCGTCGAACGCCAACGCAATTGTATCTGGATACCTCGCGTTAGGTGGATGTTGAGACATATGACTAGAAAAAAAAAAAACAAGTAAAAAAGTATTCATAAGTCTCGCGCATCATGAACCAGATGTTCAGAGAATTGAAGCAATATTATTATGAACCTGATGGACAATCCTTGCGCGACATCAACCCCCAAATAGTGTGTCCGCGGTAATGTAGTGATAAATTGAAGCGTGCTAGGACTAAAACACCTCACAATTCCTTCGGCGCATCCGATGAAAATATATTTATCTCCGACTGTCATGCAATTAGCACTGCTGGTCTGAAAATATAATGTTCTTCTCATTTATATATGAATAAACTTAAAGTAGATTGATTATATTTTATTCCTTTTGCTTCATCCCCATGTAATTGCATAAAGACAATCCTACACTGAGAAAAATCGTTTGATTGTATCAACAAGACGTATATGATTGAAGGCATTTTGGTTAAATCAAACAAGAATTTCTAATTATCATGATTTCTAATTATCAAGACTCGATTTTTTATAACTAGAACGTTTATTTCTTTGCTGCTTTAAGAAAATTTGAGGATGTAAGGATCTTTCAACTGTATGTATGTGGCTTTGTTTGAAAAAAATTTTAATATAAATTTAATATAAATTGCAATATATTTTAATATAATTTATCAATATTTATTTTCAATATAATTTATCAATATATTTTAATATAATAATATATTGCAATTGTACACTGAAAAAAATTGTTTGATTGTATCAACAAGACGTATATGATTGAAGGCATTTTGGTTAAATCAAACAAAAATTTCTAGTTATCATGATAAGGCTCGATTTTTTATAACGTTTAATAGATTTTACCATAAGGATTTGGATTACCATTAGTATTTTCAGGTTGGATCTATAAAATTTCTTGTTAGATTAATTTCTTTGCTTGCTTCTTAACTTAATTCGTATTCAATATTTGCCATGAAATGTATATAAAGAACTAGTATTAACATTAAATCCAAAGTATATTTCTTTTTCTCTTACGAGCAATGCCAGAAAGAGGACGCTGGCTCTCTGATTGTGAGTGTTTGAGCTGCATCGTCTTGCATCACTGTTTATCAGTTTAATTTCTAACAAACTGAATTTAAAATAATTTATTCAATAATCTGAATTGAATTTATCCAATAATCTTTTTGGAATTGAGAATATTAAACAAACTTTTGAGATTAGATGGAAAAAATTTGAGACGACTTGGTGCTGGCGAGTTTAGTATTATTAACCAGAAAATTTGGTAAATTTAACAGGAAGAAATTAATCAGATTCATCTGGTAATTCCTACAAGAATTCTGGTTCGTCCATTTTCCAACAGACATACTGGTCGAATCTACCAGAATTCTAATTAATGCAACCAGATTTTTTTCTCAATGTAAGCGTCCAGAATAACTTACTCGGAGTTCGACCCATTTGTCCAAAAGCCTCCTATTATTAAATTCGCACAACAGGCCCGTTTTGGTAATCACATACGTAGAGTCTGCCATTTCCCCCTTGCCACAAGCTACGTCAACGAAGTCGTTATTTCTTTGTTCCCCTAATATGGCAGATCGGCCCATCAAAGGCACAGGTTCCTTGTACTGCAATAGAACCATATATATTAGAAAGCTATGTATCTCAGCTATGCCGCAATGAAAGTTATTGTTAAAAATTACCTTGGCACTGCGAGAATACTCCAAGTACCAAAACTTGACGTGTCTGTTACCCACTGTAACGAAATAATTGCCATTTTCCGCGAAGCAGACGGCCTTTACTTTACTTGAAACTTTGTTGGATGCTACTTTAACGTTGTTCCTCCAATCCCAGACGTTAACGATCATGTCATGCTGCGAGCCAACCGATACGACGTACTTGTTGCTTGGTGAAAATGCCTGAGATAAAAATATAACATCGTTTTAGTACATGTACTTATAATTCGCTTAATATTATATAATATGTATAAAGTATTAATTAATTTCACTAATTGTAAGTACATGACAATATTCTTTGAAAAATAAGTTAATAATTCTTTGAAAAGTTCTGAACCATTTTTTTATCATGTTTAACAAAAGAAGAATTTTTCAATAAGATACATTTAATTATACAGGCGCGCACGCATTACACACGCATGCACACATGTGTAACGGAAGTCACGTACGTTCCAAAAAGATGAAGTAGAAAAAGAGTGTGTACGCAACGCGATATCCGCCGGAGATCGATTCGAGCTTGGAGAGCAAGCTTATATTATATAGCTAAGTTATGTGAGTGGAAATATTTTTTGTTTAAATTAAATTACAGTTGTTTCCTTTCCTCTTACGCAATTACGAATATGTAATGAAATAATGTACATATTATAGGAAATAATTTAATTGTAAGAGAGGAAGTAAGAGAAGAATATTTTTTTATGCAAAGAGAAAAAAAAATTTATATTTTTGCAACAGATAATGGAATAAAATGCATCAGTTTCTATCTAAATATTTGTTGCATAAATTATATATGTAATCTTATGCTAATAATAGCATTTTTATTTATCTAAAATTATTTATCTAAGATATGAAAATAAATATTTTTTAATAGCGATATGATTAGAGACAATTTTATTCCATTTATTTAATTATTTATCTGGATTGTAATTTTTTTTCATAACTTTTCCATTGAAAACTAAGAAAATTATCAGAAAATTAAAGATCTTAGAAATATTTATAATTATATTTTTGCAACAGATAATGGAATAAAATGAATAAGTTTCTATCTAAAAATTGTGGGATAAATTATACATGTAATCTTATGCTAATAATAGCATTTTTATTTATCTAAAATTGCTGAAAAATCAAAATTCATTTTAAGATATGAAAATAAATATTTTTTAATAGCGATACGATTAGAGACAATTTTATTCCATTTATTTAATTATCTGGATTGTAATTTTTTTTCATAACTTTTCCATTGAAAACTAAGAAAATTATCAGAAAATTAAAGATCTTAGAAATATTAGAGAAAGCTCGTAATAGTGCACCTCGAAATAGCACGCGAAATCTCTCCTATAGGTGCTAAATGCACGTGAGGGTATAACGGTCCAACCGCGCAACAATGCGTATCTGTCTCTCGGTGGTGTATTGGAAAGTAATGTGTGGACGAAACGATACCGCTATGATCTTGAACTTCATACTTTGAGAATAAAGTTGAAGCAATCTCGTTATTGCCTTCAAGGATCCGAACCGCGCACTATTAAGAAGTTTTACTATAAATCTAACATAATAAGACTAGTATAACATGCAAAAATAAAAAAATAATCTATTTTCTTTTTCTTATTCAAAGAATTTTCAACCTTGTAGATTTGCATGCATTTTATGTAATTAAATTAATTAATAGTAAATTTTCACACTACTTAAAAATTCCGCTGAAAACAAATTTTTTATAAAGAAAATATGTTCTAAATTCATTTTAAAGAACTATAAATCGCTAATAAATTTACAGAAATTTATATAACAGGATTATTTGAATTTTTACATATGTGGAAGGTTCATTTTTGAGTAACATATGTTTGGAATTAGAACTTTAAATTTTTTAATTAATAATATATAACTAAAAATGAGAACAAAAATGATCAGATGCCTTAGAATGTTATTCTTATGGTTTCAGTCAAATTAGCTGAAATTGATACAAATTGTAGTTTAGGTGCCAATCGAAAAGTCTTCATGGACATAAAAATCGAAACTATAAAAGATGGCTTTAAAATTGAAGCTTAAAAATTCTTGTTTTTTAATACATAGATTAAATTAATATATAAATATTAGGAAAATATATATATATATATATATATATATATATATATATATATATAATGTACGTGAATGTATGAATAGGTTTCAATACTTCAATCATATTGACTGAAGGTGAAATTTTTACATTTTAAATGTGTGGAGTTTTTCATTTATTGCCTACTATCTTTTTAATAATTTTATACATGTATACACATTTAAATTCATTATAAGAATTAAATTATTATTTATATACTTATTGCAAAATAAATTCACCGACAACAGAGATGATATTCTGTTTCACTCTCTGCATTCATCCCGAAAAAATTTTAATCTAAAAACTCAAGCTACTAATTTACAATTAAAATTAGATTTGAGTTAACATTTAAAAATAATGATATAAAAGGAGGGGTAGAGTTTTTTCTCCGTTCACGTATTTATTTAAATATACAGCTAATTAAAATTCATGTACGATAAAATTCAAATTGTCATATTTAACAGTTCATATTTAACATATTTAATATTTTGCATCACTAATTTTATTCATTTTATTAATAATAAATAAATTTTTGTCAATATTTATTTTTGCCAGTTGAATAAAAGGCTAAGCCTTTTATTCAATTAATTTTATGATTTATCATTCGGACCTTTTTTTCCTATTTCTTTATAGTTTAATCTTCACGCCCCCCTCACAAGATCTTGAATATTTTTTTTACCTTTTGGATATATTGTAATCAATAAAAATATCCAATAAAAAAAATATCCAATAAAATATTGCGAGTTATTCATTTTATTAATAATAAATAAATTTTTGTCAATATTTATTTTTGTCAATTGAATAAAAGGCTAAGCCTTTTATTCAATTAATTTTATGATTTATCATTCGGACCTTTTTTTCCTTACATATTTCTTTATAGTTTAATCTTCAAGCCCCCCTCGCAAGATCTTGAATATTTTTTTTACCTTTTGGATATATTGTAATCAATAAAAATATCCAATAAAAAAAATATCCAATGAAATATTGCGAGTAGCACTCACCACGCAATTGATGCCGTACTTGTGCCCGGCAAATTCCGCGATCTGCACTGCATTATGCGGATCGGAGATATCCCAGACACGGACGTTCGGCATGTGACCGCATTCACCCGTTGCCAGAAGCTTGCCATCTCCGGCGAGCGCTAGAGAAGTTACGGTTTTGCGACAGGCGTTCAACACATGCGCCTGACTATTCTTCCGTGGATTGAATAGAACGACGGTGCAGCTGCAATAGAATACAATAGAGAGAGATACTATCTGCAAAATGCAACCAATCGAGACAATTTTATAGTCGTTAAAAGAGCAAAATCGCAAATTTCTAATGCAATTTATAATATGCATTAATTAAAACTTGTCATGCTTATAATGTTTTATAAGCATGACAAGTTTTAATTAATATACAATATTATTATTTGCTGTTATAAATTTATATTTAAAAAATTAATTCAATTTTATTTAGCAAATTCCCAACGCAAATTTCTAATGCAATTTATAATATGCATTAATTATAACTTGTCGTGCTTATAATGTTTTATAAGCATGACAAGTTTTAATTAATATACAATATTATTATTTGCTGTTAAATTTATATTTAAAAATTAATTCGATTTTATTTAGTTTAATATGAGAAATTATATTCCACTGATTTATCGCATTTATTTTATCAGTTTGCGGTCACTAAGCATAATTGCAGGATCGAAAATTGAAGTTCTCGTTTTCCAAATATTTTCTATTCCTTCCTTGCGATTTCTCGCACTCGATTAATTTTATTTTCGCACATATAGTGAACCTAAATTCACCAAGTTTACCGAAAGTGAAAGTGCGTACCATTTACGCACATTTATAGAAACCATGCTTTTTATAATATTTTCTTTCGTTAGAAATAAGACTGCGATATCGAGTAAAATTGGACATCATCTTATAACTGATAATTTATACTAATCTAAAGAAAATATATAAATAATATATAAATAATTAAATAATAAATATATAAATAATTAAATAATAAATAAATAATTAAATAATTAAATAATAAATATATAAATAAGAAAAGTGTGCGAAAGAGAAAGGGGAAAGAAGAGGGAAAGGCAGAGGGGAAGGAAAGGGGGTGGACCGATTTTAATCTTTTCTTCGTTCCCAACGGGAACTTTTTCTCGTGTAGAGAAGATGAGGCCGTGTGAAAAAGGTACGTTCACTATGCCTGCAGCTTAGTAAAACTAGCACGCTAGCCAAGAGATACCGCTCGACACGCATCAATGGCATACGTGATAAACCGTAGACTCCATGTCTGATGGATACAATGCATATACAGGGTGAGGAAAAAGTATGGAAACTTTTAAATTTTTCGAAAATTATGCATTTTAGAAACAAATGTTTCAGACAAAAGTTGTAGGGTTTCAAGTAACGCATTATGTAGCCATATGAGTATGACCTTGAACAGCACCATCAAGATCACATAAAAATTAGTTCGAATTTTTTAAATGGAACCCTATTTTTTATTACACATTCTTATAGCTTGTTTCAAGAGCTTTCCAAAACACTATATTAAAGTGTTTTTTCATTGAGTACTTTTCGAGTTATGAAGCTTGAAATCATTTCTTAATTTTACATAAACCATAAAATATTTAATAAAATATTCATTCTTTTATTATCTCACCTTCATACTTTTATGCATAAGATAATGTGAAGAATCAATTGGTGTAATGAAAAAACATAGTTTTGAAGAAAAAATATTTTATTGTTTATGATTTATGTAAAATTAAGAAATTATTTCGAGTCTTATAACTTGAAAAGTATTCACTGAAAAAATACTTTATTATAGTGTTTTGGAAAGCTCTTGAAACAAGTTACAAGAATATATAATAAAAAGTAGGGGGTTCCATTTAAAAAATTCAAAGTGATTTTTATGTGACTTTGACGGTTCAAAGTTATACTGATATTGCTACATAATGCATTACTTGAAACCTTACAACTTTTGTCTGAAACATTTGTTTCTAAAATGCATAGTTTTCGAACAATTTAGGGATTTCCATACTTTTTCCTCACCCTGTATATTCATTTGCACACGAGGTACATCAGTTTATTCCAGAGAAGTTACGGTCGCTACCAATTTAAAATTTATTGGGTTAATTATATTAAATATATTAAGCGAAATATTATACTAATTACTTCGAGAACCGTAGTGAATCATTTAATCGCATGCGAACTAATGACAATAACGATAATAATCACGTGATAGATCACAGTCTTCTGAAATTAATACATGATGACTCAATATTAATTTCTATATTTTATTAAATATTTTAAAATATATAATAATGATAAATTAAATCACTGATAGCCATCGAGATCTTTAAGAAACTCGGCGGTTATATTAATTACGTTTTGTTTATTTTTAAGCTTGAGAATTTATACAATGGAATCTTTTTAAATTTAGCTCAGTTAATGCCCTGTACGTGTTCCATTACAAATATTAATATCGCATTTTCTTTCGCATAGTCATAATGGACAAATCATGTAACAGCACGTGCAGATTATAGCTTCGTGTGCGCAAAAGAAATTAATGTTTGCATGATGATTGGATAGCTCACATTGTGAAGAAAATATTTGTTAACTTTATCAAAAAATTTCCGCTTCTATTTTCTTGATAAATTTAACGAGTTTTATCAATAGAAAATATTTTATTTATATAAAAATCACTGCAATGCTATAAAACAATCAGTACAGATTTTTTAATCTTATCAAATATTAATATTTAAAAAAAAATAGAAATGTGTTCGAATTATTTTAATATAAATTAATCTATTATTTTAATATAAATTAATCTATTATACGCTATTATATCTTATCAAATATTATTAATATTAAAAAAGAAAATAGAAATATATGTTCGAATTATTTTAATGTAAATTAATCTATTATACGCTATTATTTAGTTTAAATTTTAAAACTATCTACTAAACTTTATGCGCCTCATTTCGAAAAGATAATTTAATTCTTTGCGCGCATTAAAGCGTACTAAAAAATTATATAACTTATTTAAATTTACATCCAACATATACAATGTGCATTTGATTTACATGTATGTACAATTCCCAAAAACAAAAGAAAATAGATAATCTTGTAATAGATAAAAATCAACCGTGCAAAACATTGGAATTTCTATGAAGAATTTAGTTACAGATATTCTCCAAGCGAATTCCAAGTGATTTTTCATCTGGAAACTTGTATATTTGTACGCGTCATAAACTTTAATTTAATCTAAAAATGAAGTCCAATATTGAATTGGGAAAATTGGCAATAATTGTCCGCATTCTGTTAAGATAATATAATATATACAGGATGTCCTATTTTAATTGACCACCTTCAAAAACTTTTTTATTGTGTCTAGAGAATAATGTTTCAGATAAAAGTTATAGGGTTTAAAAAGATCTGATCTTATCAGTTTAAATGGCGTTCTCAAGGATAAAGTATTTTGAATTATTTAAATGAAATCTCTTATCTTTTATTGCATATTTTTATAGCTCATTTCGAGCTTTCCAAGGTACTATAATAAAATATTCTTTTATTAAAGCACTTTCCGAGTTATGAGGCCTGAAATAATATTTCTTCATTTTAAATAAACTATAAAATATCTCGTAAAATATTCATTTTTCGATTATCTTATCTCAATAATTTTATATTCAAAATAATGAGAGGAATTAATTGATGTAAAAAACACACACTATTAGCGTATTCGGTATTGATGGAAATGTTTCTGTCACCTCGGATGTAGGAACATCTTTATCGGACATGTTGAAAATACTGGACGATTATAAATACTTCTGCCACACACAAATTCCTTTCGCAGTCACTTTTTACAAATAAAAGATTGCATGTATTTATTATGTTTTGAAGTGTTTTGGAAAGCTCTTGAGACAAACTATAAGCTATAAGAATATGCAATAAAAGTAGGAGGTTCCATTAAAAAAATTCAAGGTAATCTTATCCTGACGCCAAAATCAAAGATAAGATCATCTGATAAGATCAGTAAATAGATCTTTTTAAATCTACAACTTTTATCTAAACATTATTTTCTAGAATCATAAATAAAAAAGTTTTAGGGTGGTTCATTAAATCACAAATAAAAAAATTTTAGGATGGTTAATTAAAATGGGACACCCTGCATGTAATTTTCATGTTCTAAAAATTATTTAATTTTGATTGACAATAATTTAGAAACTGTCAGTAATATATAGTAATCAGTAATAAAAAAAAATGTAATTTGCAATTAACAATTACATTTTTTTTCGAAACAATTATGTGTTTTCTTTACACCAATCGATTACTCTCATTATTTCGTACATAAAAGTATTAAGGTAAGATAATCGAAAAATGAATATTTTACAAGATATTTTATGGTTTATGCAAAATTAAAAAATGATTTCAAGCCTCATAACTCGAAAAGTGTTCAATGAAGAAATACTTTATTATAGTGTTTTGGAAAGCTCTCGAGATAAGCTACAAGAATATGTAATAAAAAATAGGGCGTTCCATTTAAGAAATTGACGGTGATCTTTATGTGACTTTCAAATGACTCTCCCATGTCAAATCATTGCCACTATCTGATGGCCCCTTTCAAGCCATATAACTTTTGTTTGAAAGATTTCTTTCTAAAGTGCATAGTTTATGAAATATTCGACCGGTCCGGGACTTTTGGAACACTCTATATAATATTTGTAGGTTTTCTTAACATGAGCAACGATGTACATATAATGATAACGATAATCTTTTCAATGGCTTTTCATGCGTTAAAAAAAGTTTAATATCAACTGCAAATAAATCGTGAAATCGAAAGACTGAAGAGATTGTGAGAGATTGGTAAGAAACGCTCTTTATGGAAAGTTGCGGTGAAAACGGTCGAATTGATGCATATGCACAATACCGCATCGTCATCGCTTGAGAAACGAAAGCTATTATATGAAAATTTACAATTCGGCTATTTCTAAAATCCTACATCGCTGTACTAATTAAGCTGTCAATGAAAACGGCGGTAGCGTCGATATAAGGTGTTCATTATTTATTGTGAAACCTGTGTCACTTATTTCGCATAATTGAACTGCAAACATTTGCGCGACAAAATTATTTTACAACATCGAAATTTATTATCGACGTAAATCATCAGCTATAATTGGAATTAAAGAAATCATCAGCAATAATCATTAATTTTTATGACGACGTATAATTTAGTAATCATATTTCTTGCATAATGAATTATTTTTTTTTATTATTAAAAATAATGAAGATTAGGTGACGAATGCACGTCAATAGAAAAGTAGGACATTGAAACATTGTCAATGTTGTCGCAGTCTTAATTTCAGAAGAGTATCTGAAATAGAACATTCTGCACGAAGAATATTATATCAATAATAAATAGAATGTACTAGCTCGGTGTGTTTAAATAATTCTAAGAATTAATCTAGGCTTATACGAGCAATTTAAATAAATGGATGTTGAAATATATTTTTATTTATTAAAATCAAATCATAATAAATCTAAGATGGAACGCAATACAATTCTAAAAATAAAAAATATAAAAACGCATTGGGACGTTTCGACAATTACTTTTGTCTTTTCAGCCAATATTAATAAATTTTAACAAAATTTTGGACGTTAGATCGAACTTAGAGTTACTTAATATTACGCATTTTTTTTATTGTAAAGTGTGTTGGGAGTGTCGGATGGTGTCTTCGGTCGGTCTCCAGATGCAATGATCGTTGCAGAAATTGATGTTTGTCTATGTAAAAGATGTCGGTTTTTGTCAGATTAATGCGTTATAAAGTCAAAGCTAGGTGGTAATCATAAATTAAATAAATCTCATACCAATTTCCGCATTTCTCATTGCAAAGACTTATGAAGAATAACACAATCACTGATTCTATTTTTTAACATTGATGTTATATTGAATTGTGTTTCTCACACCTGACGGATAGGTACTGGACAAAGCGCAGATATACAGTGTTATTTATAAGGAGTTTATGTTATTGTTTTTAAACGTCACTCGCACAAATTAGACGCTTTTTGGATATTAACGTTCAACAACGGAAAATATGCACGATCCAATAAATCGCAGTCCTCCATGATGTTTAAATCATTTTTTCTTTTTCAAACACGCTCACAAAAGAATTAAATATTTAATAAACAATAAATTGAAAATCAATCCAAAAGAGACACAAGAGACGACAGACATTACAGAAGAGAAAAAATTTATAGCCATACCCTACATAAAAGGCCTGTCTGAATTAGTTAGTAAATCATTAAAAAACATAGCGTTCGACATAGGATACAAATGTTTTAATCGATTGAATAAATTCATTAAAGTTCACAAGGAAAACTCACATAACAACAATAATATCATATACCAAATTCAATGCAAGGACTGTGATGCAACATACGTAGGACAAACAAAAAGACAGTTAAAAACCTTAATAAAAGAACATAAATACAATTTTTATCAATCCAACGCAAAATTTACGGTCACTTCCAAACATATTTTAGATAAAAACCATACAATAGATTGGGAGAACACAAAAATATTAGATAACGAACCACACTACAACCACACTACACCACATTACAAAAGATTGATTGCAGAATCAATTCACATAAACAAACAAAAAAATGGTTTAAACATCATGGAGGACTGCGATTTATTGGATCGTGCATATTTTCCGTTGTTGAACGTTAATACCCAAAAAGCGTCTAATTTGTGCGAGTGACGTTTAAAAACAATAACATAGACTCCTTATAACACTGTATATCTACGCTTTGTCCAGTATCTATCCGTCAGGTGTGAGAAACACAATTCAATATAACATCAATGTTAAAAAATAGAATCAGTGATTGTGTTATTCTTCATAAGTCTTTGCAATGAGAAATGCGGAAATTGGTATGAGATTTATTTAATTTATGACTACCACTTAGCTTTGACTTTATAACGCATTAATCTGACAAAAACCGACATCTTTTACATAGACAAACATCAATTTCTACAACAATCATTGCATCTGGAGACCGACCGAAGACACTCCCAACACACTTTACAACAAAAAAATGCGTAATGTTAAGTAACTGTAAGTTCGATCTAACGTTCAAAATTTTGTTAAAATTTATTAATATTGGCTGAAGAGACAAAAGTAATTGTCAAAACGTCCCAATGCGTTTTTATATTTTTTATTTTTAGAATTGTATGTGTTCCATCTTAGATTTATTATTGATTTGATTTCAACAAATAAAAATATATTTCAACATCCATTTGTTTAAATTGCTCGTATAAGCTTAGATTAATTCTTAGAATATTATATCATTTATATTATTGATGTACGAGGCGCAATTAATTAATATATGTAGCAATTTGAAATTTTATTTATATCGTGAATATGAATGATTAATAAAGCTTTATATAATTTATTATAAAATAATAAAAAAAAATAATACACTATTTTTAATAATAAAAAAAATAATTCATTATTTTTAATCATAAAAAAAATAATTCATTATTTTTAATAATAAAAAAAATAATTTATTTTTTTTTTATTATTTTATGAATTATATAATAAAGAAATTATATAAAAAAATAATTCATTATTTTTTTTTATTAGAAATTTATGAAAAATAGCATTTTATGATTTAAAAACCTATTGTATTTATTTATATTCTTTTTTATTGTAAAGAAACCAATTAAAAAAAATCAAGCTTACCCAGCTGGATAAGCAACCAGCTCGATGGTCGTGTCGCAATCAAGGGCTGCATTGCTGGATACAGTTACGCCCAACACTCGTTCTAACTTGATCTAAAACAAATTTAAAAAATTTATTTTATTCGCAAAAATTCTCATTAATTCATCAAAATTGCTTTCGAGAAAAAAAAATTAAAAATATATATATTATTAAGGCATGAAGAAATAATTCCATTAAAATATATGCGAGCCAAATAATATCTTTTTTTTTCGCATTGTTTTTTTACTAGTATATATTCGATACTGTTTAGAAAGAAATATGTATATATTTTCAATATTTAAGATAATTGTATCTTACAAGGTAAGACTAATTGAGCCGTTCATAGGCTAAAGCGATTAACTCCATTTTTTGAATTTTTGAAAATTCTTATGAAAATTCTTTTGAAAATTCTTCTTAATTCTAATTTATTATTTTCTTATTTTATTATTTTATTTGAAGTGCTTTGGTACTAAAATTTAAAATAAAATAATAAAATAAAATAATAAATAAAATAATAAATTAATAAAATAATAAATAAAATAATAAATTGAAATTGAAATAAAATAATAGTTAATCGCTTTAGCCCGTGGATTGTTCAATTATTACGCAGTATCGTACATGTGTATACAGAAATTCGCGGCATGTACATTCGCGTTTACGTATACAGTTTACATATGACGATCATTAATCCCTATACTACGTCAATGCAATGTACAGTATCATGTATTTACAATGTGAATTGTATGTGTAATTCATAAGTGCAAATGTCAATAGACATCCTGATTTCGTGATATTTTGATACTTGCATTAATTAAATATAAGAATAATTTTATACTCAAAAAATATAATGTGAATTTGCTCAATAATTCACAACTTTTCTATAAAATACTTGATATTAAATCTAATGCTCAACAATATATTATTATTAGGTAGGATTATATTAGATTAGATCTTATACTTATTACAAAACCGCAATAATCATTATAAATGCAATTAGGACAATGCGTCAAATGAGATGCACAAACACTTCAATTAAATAAATTAAAAAATAGGATATTTTTTAACACGTAAAATTTTTATTTAATCAAATAGATAAATAAGGTTCTTTTACATATTTTTAATAATAAATTTAATAACCACAATAAAATAAAATATAATAAAAGATAAAAAATTACAAAAAAGTAAAGTAATGGCGTTCTAAATAATCGTATTATATATATATGGCGTCTGCCCAATGGCTAAGAGAGAGAGAGATTCAATCTCAATGCATAAATTATCTAAAATAAAAAATGATTGATATTTTCAATCCTTATTATTTTCGGTCCACAATAGCATTTTTCCAATTTCTATTATTTTCTCAAGCTATGAAAAAGTAAAATGTAGATGTGTCCAAAAAAGTTTAGATGTATTTAATTTTGTAAAAAAAAATTAATTTTTAAAAAATTCCTTCCGTGAATCGAAAATAACAAATATAAAGATAAAAAGATTGCTTTTTATTGTAGCTAATTTATCAAGATTGAATGTTGCATAATTTATATAGATGATATAATTAACTTATAACGTCATCATTATTTTTGGGTTCCAATATCTTACATTTTTTGATATTAATTTTATTATTTTTATTTAAATTTAATTTAATTTTTATATTTAATTTTAATTTTATATTTAATTTTAATTTTAATTTTTAATTTTAATTTTATTAAATTTTATTTTTATTTAATATTTTTATATAAATATATTTTTTTATTAAAAAGTCATTATTTAAGTAAAAATTTTACACTGTTAGAAAATATCCTAATTTTTTATTTCCTAGACTCTTATAACTTTTTAAATAAATTTGCGAAATAGCGTGTATTTTTTTTAAAATTAAATCCTCGTACATCAAATGATTGGATACTTGTAACTAAAATATTTGATAAATAACACGAGATAATAAAACCAGTTGAGACACTTTTAGAGATGACGTTGTTGTATGCAAAAGGCAAATATCTCTTTTTGCCTATCCTCCTCTTTCCTTGACATGTAAAGGTAACATTAAGATAATCAATTCACATGACGATGCAATCTGTCACTAAAATCCCGTCAATCAGTGAAAAAATTGTGATATCAAGTGTAGAAGATTTGTTTATTGAGAAAACTTGCCGATAGCCTTATTAATTAGCGCGATGTGAAAATAATGCCCCGGATCGTTTTGCATATGTATAATCCGTATACGTGGATGCAAAACATGCACGCTCCAAATAAGGCGATCTCCGTAAACTAGTTATGTTTCGAGACTCTCTATTGATATAGAAACGTGTGCAAGCAGGTAATATTGCATACCACACATTGCGATGACCATAAATTATTTCAGTGCATGGAAAAAGATAAGTCTCTATTGTTCCACCTCGTTCATATGCATAGCATATACACAAACGCGTATTCACAAATTAAATAAATAATTATTAATAATTATAATAATTATTAATTAAATAAATTATTATTAATAATTATAATTATTAATTAAATAAATTATTATTAATAATTATAATAAATTATAATTATTTTTTATATTATTAATATTATAATAATAATTATAATTAATTACAATTATTAATATTATTAATAATTGTAATTAATTATAATTATTATTAATAATTATAATTATTAATTAAATAAATAATTGTTAATTATTATAACGGAGGAAATAATTCGTTAAATAATTGTAATTTCCAAAAACTTAATCCTGCTTGCTCGAATAATTCAAAGATAAAAGATTTGATTAACATGATTAGAATATTGTGTTTCGACGAAATAATAAATTGGCCATTTGCTGAGCTTAACGTGCTACTGTACTGCAATGATTGAACCGTAGGACGTATACTATAGCACAATTTTATAGCATTACAATGACGCAATGTATAACGATATGAGACAAGGTCTCCTTCGCATATAATTTGTGATGCATTATGTAACGCGACAGGTTTCGTCATGTTTGAATGAGAGAATCGGTGAATCTACAGTATATATACATATATAGAATGAAGCATCTAATTCGCACACCTTGAATAATTTGTAAATTAAACGTTGTATGAAAAGTAAATAGTACGTTGCCATTTCAGCCCGCATATTTCAAAAACTACTTGTCTGCTTGAATTACTTATGTTTGAGGCAAACGTGCGTGACACGCAATTTTTCGCTTAATTTTCTCGAATCGTCAGTTTAGAAACGTAAGAACTTCTTTTTTTTCTGAAGAAAACAAATGTCGAAAAAAAAATGTTTTCATAGGAAAAAAAGTAGAAAATTTTGGTTTCCTTCATTATTATTATTTTTATTTATTATGATTATTTTTTCATTTTTTAAAATTATAATTATATATTATTTTCTTTCATATATTTTCATATTCTTTCATACATTATTTTTTCATTTTTTAAAATTATAATTATATATTATTTTTTTTTATATATTATATATTATTTTCTTTCATATATTTTCTTGTCAATATAATAAAGAAAACTGAAGTTTCTATATTTTTAATTTGCTATAATTGGCTGTATAGTTATGTAATTAAAAAAAAAAGTTGAATTTATTTTGAATATTGGTAATAATAACGTGTCTCGTGTTCTTCAACATTCCTTACGAATTTTTTTGAGTTCAAATATGTAGTCCAAGGTATAAAACAATAATATCTGACATTAACAAATTGCTTTCTCTCATGCATGTGCATAAAGATTTTACCGACACTATTTTACAAAAATGTGATGTGCATATTTTCTTGTAAAAATTACGATACTTCTTATGTAGGTCAAACTTATGTGGGTTTCTTATGTAGGCTGACTTTTAAAAACAAGAATTTCGAAATATAGCAATCGCATTAAGAGAAATATAGCATTCGGTAACGAAGCACAAACTGCTTAATCATAAGTTTGATTGGAACAAGGTGGAAATTGTGGATGAGGAGCCTGTCCTGAGAAAAAGGTTGTCGGAAATGATATATATTAACTGACAAAAAAAGCAACCTCAATCTCCAGAATGATCAAGTAATAGATTAAACATACAGGATGGACCAAATTGGTGTAAAGAAAACGCATAGTTACTCCTAAGAAAAAATATTTAATTGTTAATTGCAAATTACATATTTTTTCTTCGAAATAACTATGTGATTTTTTTACACCAATCGATTCCTCTCATTACTTTGTACATAAAAGTATTAAGGTAAGATAATCGAAAAATGAATATTTTACAAAATATTTTACGGTTTATGTAAAATTAAGAAATTATTTCAAGTCTTATAACTCAAAAAGTGCTTGAGGAAAAAATATTTTATTATAGTGTTTTGGAAAGCTCGCGAGGTAAGCTACAAGAATATGCAATGAAAAAATTTAAAAAAATCAAGTTGACCTTTCCCTGATCTTGGCGACGCCACTCAATGTCAAATAAATATTACAGTTAAATACATCTTTTTAATCCTTACAACTTTTGTCTAAAGGATTTTGTTCTAAAATGCATTCTATACAAGATATTCGACTGTATCCAGACTTTTGGTCTACCCTGTATATGCGCCGATCATTGAGAATTTATCTATTTATTTAAAATTACCGCGCTATTATTTATGTCATCCCCTCCCTCTTCCTCTCATGTTTATAGCAGTTTATTTGAATTTGTTTATTAATTGTTTATTAATTATTTTATTAACGATTAAATTCACATACAAATTGTAGTTTGTATTTATTTGCATCCTTCATCTCTCTTGAACTTGTAGTTTTTTTGACTCTATTATTGAGACAATGCAGTTTTCTTTACAAATTGATTCTTTAGTTTCATACATAATGGCATTTTTGCAATGTCATGTATGTGTGTTCGACTGGAACCGTTTGAGAGATTCGCCTTGTTTATCTTTTTTATCTGAGACTTTATAGATTGCGTGGGATTGGAGCACACAATTTTTTTGTATTATTATGTGTATGCACTTCTTTTTTTGTATCGTTTTTATGTGTAATATTTTTATCAATTATTGAAGATTTCAGTTTTTTCTATTCCTGTTTTCTATCTCTTTATATTTCGGTTTTCTGCGCTAGGCTCATTATCGCGATTT